TATCTTACGAGTCGGTTACACATTGATAATATGTAAACGCACCAGTAACTTGGTGTTATAAAACATATTGTTGTGTGTGATTCGGTAACTGAGTACAAGCGAGCATTGAGTCGAAGTTTATCTGTTACTTTTACCCAAAGTGGGATAAAAGCGGTATATATGGGCCCCTCGATGATTTAGTGATGACACCCTAAGCACTTGGGCAAGCCAAGACTAATTTGATGTGTTCAATTGTAGTCTGTTGTAAGTTGTCATAAATCAGAAATCGAGAAACAACACATGAACATAGAGTATTATTAAAATCCATGTCTCAGTTCATACGATATCTAGTATGGAAGAATATATGATCCCTTATCTAAAGGACAGGTTGCTGATAAGATTAGAGTTCGAAAACATCTTTGAAAGCTACGATTGCTAATCATATTGTACTTAAATTATAGTTACTAGAGTTATCCAAGTGGGAGACTGTTGGATTAGTGTATAAGCCCATAACTATATTTGGTATGTACTTGACCCGGTTATGCATGGTCCTTTTGGGTTGCCTTCACCAAAGCAACTAGATAGGATGATTTATGGAGAAAGAGGATTAATTATGATTAATATTATATGGATAATATATTAAAGTAGAAATCATAATGTTTAATTAATATTAGTCAAGAATTAATTTATAGTTAATTTATGACTAAAAGACATTAATTAAACATAAGGGACTGAAATTGTAATTATAAGATAATTGCAATTGGGCTATGGATCACCTTGGAACATAGGTTGGACGAATTCTATGGGAAACCCATAAAGAAATCGTCCAAGGGGTGTTCTAAAGGGAGTCAATGGGCTGCTTAGGGCCTAAGCAATCAAATTAGGGTTTCCTAGTTGAAAACGCTAATAGCCTCACTATATAAAGACCTCTATTGCCTCAAAAACGTGGTGAACTCTTTTGGAAGAACCCTGGATGTTTTTGTGCTCCACCTCCTTCTCATAAGTCATTCTCTTGATTGTGGTATTTGTAATCCATTAGAGGAGTGACACTTGTGACTTAAGCTCCAAAGACAAGAAGATTCAAGCTGTCGAAGAAGAGGTAATCATGTAGATATGCTTTTATGTGATAATTTCGAGATGCATATGCTAGATTAGGGTTCTTGAGTCTTGGATTAATTGCATGTACAATAGAGAAATCTAGATCTAAGCTTTAGGGTTTGCATTAGCACATAGGATGTCGTTTTGTATAAAACCCATCACAATCAACTTTACTGAAGAGGATACTTAAGCCCATGGCTCAAGTGCATCTATAAAAAATAGGAGCGGGTGTTCCTTAAAGAAAGCCATTCCGGGGACGCAACGACACACGAAGGCGCTCATGCACTCACGTGCAATATACTCTGCCTAGGAGTTTATTGGTCGAACGTGTACAACAATGCCGCAACGCTAACAAAGAAATGCAAAGAGTGACAAGCCTTTACTCCCTTCCAAAACTAACCGACCATGCCATTAACCAGCATCACCAGCCCCTAGACTTTCCATCAATGAGGGATTAATATAGTGAGACATTTTCCACCGGCACCTGGGGGCGTCAAGTTTTTATTGGTGGCCATGGATTATTTCACCAAATGGATAGAGTCGAAACCACTGGTCACCGTCACTGGCAAGCAGATGATAAAATTTATGACCAAGAACATCCTTGCCCATTTTGGCACTGATAAGATACTCATAAGTAATAACATCACTCGATTTCAGGGCAGTCCCTTCAAGGAGTGGTGTGAAGACAAGAGAATACATCACCGGTTCACATCAGTAGCGCATCCTCAGCCAACGGACAAACCAAGATATCAAACAAACCCATCATCAATGGTTTGAAAAAAGGTTACTCAGGTTAAAGTCCGCCTTGGTGGATGAACTCCCGAACGTGTTGTGGTCATATCGTACCATAGAAAGGTCAAGTATATGGGAAATCCCCATTTAGCCTAACTTATGGGATAGAAGCAGTACTCCCCTGGAGATAGTGGCAGGCTCTTTGCGAACGGATAGTTTTAAGGAAGCGACCAATGAAGAAGGGTGAAGCTAGGACCTAGATATGCTCGACAAAAAAACGTGAGGCGGCACAAGTGTGCCAGGCACTATACAAATCACATACTGAGAACTATTAAAATCTCCAAGTCCGAGTCAAGAACTTCAAAGTCAGAGAATGGGTGCTAAGAAAGAACGAGTCTAGCCATGCCGAACCATTGGGGAAACTCAGTGTCACGTGGGAAGGACCATATAAAATTGTGGAAGCCCATAAGAATGGTGCCTATGCCCTAGAAGCTCAGGACGAGAGTTCCATTCCAAGAACGTTGAACGTGTAGAGCCTATGACACTTTTACTCTTAAATCGAGTGTGAAAGGTAGCATTAATGCTATCAAAGGCATTGTGTATTAATTTCAACATGTGAATTTAATAAGCAAGTATTACTTTACTACTTTCAACTTTATTATACTCTAACCAAAACTAGAGTAAACAAAAAGGGCAATTCAGATGCACCTTATTTTCCAGCTAGAAAAACAAAACAAAAAGGTTGTGTACATTTACCGTGTGACAACGAGGACTGATCATCCAACATCACATGAGCGAAATCAATACAAGGAGGTAGCCAGGTAGTTTTCACATAGAAGGCTCGTAACCTTCATCCCAAAACATGTTCATCATTCACATCATAACAAACACACAAAAGAACATGTAACATGAGTGTAGAAGGATCATAACCTTCAACCAATAAAACAAAAAAGCATAATAGGGTGAGCCTCAAGATGATGATCTTGGCTACAACTAGGGTCTTTAAGCAGCAAATTAGAACAAATTTCTCAAATACCATATTTGCTAAAACATAAAGAGTTCTCCAATAATAGAACTCAAACCAAGGGTGCAAGAAAACCATGCGTAGATACCATATCACGGCCAGCATAAACTATAGACAAAGAAACCAAACAAAAGAATATATGTGGAAGCAACAAACATTCATACCCATAAATATAAAGTAGCAATTTTTAGGATGCCGGACTCCCGGACTTTCAGGACACCCATGAGGGCAGCAAAAACAAAAAAAAATGACAAAACTCGGAATAAAAGAAATTTTCATTGAGTTTACATCGCAACAAACCAAAGAAACAACGTTATTTATGGGCGAGGGTGTTACCATCATCAGGGGAGGATCTGGGGCCAGGGCCCGATCCATCACCCTGAGTGTCTTGGAAAAGGTCGTGAAGCGCAGCCATATCCATATCACCCAGGAAAAGATAGCCAACATAGTCTGTCTCAATAAAATTTGCTAGGGCATCTTCCATCTTGTGAACCTTGGTGACCATGTTCACCTCCACCTCTCCTTGCACCACCCCCGCCACTACACAAGCCATCCGCACCTGCACCAAACCCTGGATAAACTGGGGGCTCTCGATTACCCGGTCCACCACCCGTCCGAGCCTGTGCTTAAGGATCCAAGCCTTGTCCAACGCTCCCCTTGCGGTGTTATCACCAATAAAATTAACCTCCAGTTCCATCGTCTGACCGCCTAGATCGATGTTCTCCAAAGTCAGAACCCCCACACGATCGTTCAGGCACCCCACCTCTTCCTTCAGCTTCACCATTTGATCCGCCAAGCTTGCCATCTCGAGTAGTACCACCTCCTTCCTAGCTTCCAATCTGCTATTGTTAGCTTCTAACTTCGCCACCTGGGCCTTCATCTCTTCGCACTCAAAGCCCCTCCTACCAGAATCAGACTGGGGGGGTCTCTATTTTGGAGATACGTTCAGTGGTTGTGGCCAAACAAGATGAAACCTGGGCGGTAGCGTAGCGCAAGATGACGACCATATGCTCGTCGGATAGGACAGTCAGGGCCTCAGTCGTGGCAGGAGGAAATGCATGTTGACACCACTTCAGAGCGGTGTCGTGGTCGGAGACAAGATCTTGATTAGTTTATCTCTAGGTTGGCTTATAGGCGTCCGAACGAGAACTCACCAGAAGGGATGTGGTTGCAGTTTTTTCTACAGGAAGTAGAAGTAAGAACATAGGGTGGCGAAGACCTAGTCTCCACCTCCCGCCTCCTCCCCCCACCCCCAGGTTATGGGAGAAAGGCTGGTTTTCTCACTACCTTTTTCTTCCGTACGACAGGGTAGATCAGTTTCCCCAATTTGTGCCCTCGCCGACAGTTTCAGAGCACCTTCATCGGGGGCACAGGTGGAATCCATGGGACCCTCTAGTAAGAAACTCAAATTTCATTTCTTAAGAAGAGGAGGATCGGTGTTGGCTGACTCGGCTCAACCACCAGAAGAGGCTTTCAGGAAAGCAAAACGCCTCTTCAAACAACAAAGACTCCTCGAAGACCCAAAAGGTGTAGGATCATTCTGAGAAGCACCGGTGACAACAATGTCCTAGAAACCTAGGTTATCGTTAGCGCCAGTGACACTGTCAGAACCAACAGTTGCCTCGATTCCTCGTTGAGAAACAGGGGGTGGAAGAGCTTCCACAAGATCAACATCACGACACTGAAGCTCATCGCCAAACTGATCTGAAGAGCTCTCTCTAAAGAAACAACTTCCTTCACACTTGGCAACAAAGAAAAATACAACGATGGTAAAAACAGAATGTCGATTTAAACAAGCTTTGCAAAATTTTCAAAAAAAAAGGGGGGGGGGGGGGCGAAGACGAGCAAGAGAAATACCCTCTTTCTCAACGAAACACCCAATCATCTTTCTACGAGCCCTCTAAGCGGCGCTCATTCCACTGACTGCAAAGAAGCAATCAATCCAATATTCACCGTTGATGCTGATATTCTCAAGAACATCGGCTAGTTCCTTGTCAGCACCAAAAAGTGTTGGAGCACGGTCGACGTACACTTTAGCCCTCGGATAACCGAGCACCACGAGATTGTTGTTCACCTACAAGAACTTATGCTGTCAATTCTTCTTCGGTTTCTTATCATGGATGAGAGTAGGGAATCCCCACCATCGATAGAGAGTTTGACTCCCCAACTAGGTAGAGGCATTAAAGAAGTGCTTGAAATTCGGAACAGTCGGCAGGCGCCCTAGGGCACGACAGAGTAGATCAAAACCCACTATCTTGTTTATAGCAATATGGGTCAAATCTCTCACCGAAAACCTGTATTCCCGGATGATCTGGTTGAAGAAATCAATGGTGGTCAAGCGCAGACCTACATCGAACAAGGCAATTGGGATGCCATTTTTCCCCTTAGGCGGACTGTAGAGTGAAGCATCGGGCAGAGGGATTTGCACATTGTGTTCGGGAATGAACCCGAACCGAAATTCAAAATATTCCCATTCTTCGAAGGTCAGATCTCTCCCTAAAGAGCGAGTGGCATCCATGGAAAAATATGAAAAAGGGGTTGAAAGGGTTTTTTCTCAAGAAAAAAAAAAGTCAAAGGGAAACGAATAGGAGGTAGAGAGGAAACGCCTGGAAGAACAGAGCCTTAAATGCCACAAAAGGGGCAGTGAAGTGTTTCAAGATTAAAACGCCGAACAAACGGCGATTTCATCCTGCCAATAGCAGCCCTCCACATGCCTGTGAATAGTCCCGGACAACTCTGCTATGTCACGAATACAGAATCCTACTAGCCTAAAGGACTTGTTAATGTTACCATAAATGGTCACATTAAATGTAACGAACATCATAAACTAGAAGTTATCTTGTCACGACTTTGGCCAAGGCCCGACCATGGCCAAGACAATCTAACACCGGGGTGGCAATTCATTTGTAACACCCGTAGATCAGGGCTAGTCAATTTATAGACAATAAGCGTCAAAAATGACTTTTTGATAGAAGATTATTTAGGATGAATAATCCTAACTAAGTTTTAGTATATGTTACAAGGTTTCCGTGCATATAAAAAACGCCAAAATCCGAGTTATAACGAAGAAGTTATGACTTGTTAAAGTTTCGCGACAGAACCGACACAACGCTGAATGACGTAAAAAGTGAATTTACGTTAGAGTGATATTTAGCCTTAGCGATCTAAATGAGAATCGAAGATCTCGTTGTTAGTAGCGAAACGACGAAAAGTTAGGCAAGAACGGACGTCGGACGAAGAAGTTATGAATTTATAACGAAATTTTCTTTCCCGACCTATTAAAAATAAATAATAAAAATAACAGTCAAAATTAGCCGACGGAGTCTAAACAAAAGTCGAAGAGCGTAGTCTCACCTACGCGTGGATATAAAGAACATCGAAAACGGAGTTCGTATGAAGAAGATATGAATTTTCAAAGTTTGTTAATTAATTAATAATTAAATTTAATTATTAAATCCCGGTATTATGCGAAGGCGAGTCATCGGACTCATCCGAAGTACGCCCCGCGTACAGTGAAGCATGACGACCTTCACACTCGAGTTCTTCGGATGACGCATGCAGTGACGAATTCGGATGCGTACGCCCCGCGTACTCCGAGGCTCCAGCCTCCTATAAATAGGATGCGAGGGCAGCCGGTTCTTTTGTTCATTTTCTCTTTTCTCTCTCCCGTTTTTCATCGATTTGTGTGCCAGAAATACCCCGAAGCCCCGGTATTATTCTCGAGCCCCGAAGCAAGTCCCGAGATCCCGAAGATCCCGAGAAGTGCGGTTCCCGAGCCGCAGCTCTTCCCGCGAGAAGTTCGATTTTTGTGGAGATCTTCCAGATCTACCGAAGAATACTACTTCTGCAAGTTGTAGTGCTGTCCGATCATCTTCTGATCAATTGAGTGTATACTACCTTTCATAAACACGATAATAATACAAGTATGGTTTGAGTGTATTAAGTTTATTGTTGTTTATATGTGTGAGTGTGTAGTTACTTTCTTCTAAAACATAAATATGACGTATTTGCTATGAAATACGTGCTATGTGTTTATATGTTATTTGTCTATTTGAGATGGGCATGGAAATTGGAGTTTTATACAGGTGTTAAATGATTTAAACTGTGTAAGTATTTATATCTACAAAATTGTTGGGTAGAACATAGGTAGATGGAATAGTTGGTGACTATGGAGTTAGTGCCTATTGTATAAACCTTGGCGACGATGTGACTTCATGCCTATTTGATGAACCTTGGCGACTATGGAGTTAGCGCACGTTGAGTAAACTTTGGCGACTATGGAGTTAGCGCTTGTTGAGTAATCCTTGGCGACTATGGAGTTAGCGCTTGTTAAGTGAACTTTGGTGACTATGGAGTTAGCGCCAGATAACTATGGATTTAGTACTTGATAAATAAGCTTTGGCAGCAATGGAATTCGTGCAAAATTCCTTACGAATAAATGAATGAAGGATAGTTGGTTCTTAGGGTAAAACCTTAAGAAGATAATGGGGATGGGTAATTGGGTTGATTGTTTGCTAATTACATATAATAATTATATTATTGTGGGTTGAAAACCCTATATGCTCACCAGGCTCCCAAGCCTGACCCACTCAGTTTTTTTTTTCATTACAGGTAATGGCACAAGGGTATAAGTTGGTGGACTTGACGAGAGATTTTGGATTATAGATCAGTAGTTGAATAACTATTGTAAGGTCTATTTTATATTGTTTATGCTTTTGGTCTGTAACGAACATGACATCCCGAGTTTTTATTATTTAATGAAAATACATTCTTATCGAGAAATGTTTTGATAAATGGTTATCATATTTTATTTTGGGAACAAATTCCACAACCGTTTTCTTTAAACGATCACTTTGATTTATAAAAAAAAAAAGCACAAACAAATCGGTCTTTTCTGGCCGTGAAATTGGGGATGTCACATCGTTTCCCTCTGCAAGGGACGGATATCCCCCGCAATCTACTTCATCATTCACGACCAGTCATGACGTGACAGAAAGCACAGGTAACGCTCAGAGATGACGTCACCAGGCAGTTAGCTAACATGGGCATGATTCTCCAAGTCAGAGGAGGCCACATTTCACGCTCATCGAACGAGGTCCACGTGATCTGTTAGAGGCAGGTATAAAAGGATCTCTTCCACCTTAAGGAAGTGATCTCATATTCTCTCTCAAAAATATCACCCTAAAATTACCTATCTCAGGAATCTAAGTTGATCGTCGGAGCGACATCTCGGGAGAAGACCCGGATGTCCTTTAACGATTCATCTTTGTATTGTGTTCTCAGGAAAACTCTCAATACAGATTCATCATCCAGCATCCTAACCCCCTGAGACATGTCACAACAGTATCATAAATAATATAAGAAACATAAGCATAAACAAGCCTTACAGTATCTTTACACTAAATAGTATACATCTCCCTGAATCTCTCATCATTTATGTACCTTTGTACCACTACCTGTGATACAAAGAATCTGAGTGGGTCAGGTTGGGAAACCTAGTGACTACATATGGTATTCAACAAAAAGCATTATAATTAATATGTTTAATTATCAGACAGTTAACCTAATTACCCATACCCATTTTCTTTTATATTCATTTCTAAGAGTTTCTCCGAAGGATTATCACCTACATCGCATTACATCGCTAAGGCATTCTCCTAAGGTTCATTGTCTAACATCACATTTTATATTTTCATTGCTAACGGCCTCTCCTAATGTTCGTCGCCTATCATCGCATTGACAGTACTACTTCAAGGATTCCTCTGCAATACATGTCGGTAGAGTACATCGCGTGAATACACGATTCTTACATCGCCTGAACTCGTGATTTATCACCCATAGGTTGCAATCCTAGTGGTGTTCCATTAGACTATTAAGATTAATCTATGGTGGTCATCTATATTCCATTATATAACTACATCGCAATCATTGAAAATATCGCATGTAAGGGTCAAGGGATCCCCTAATCATTTTTCATCTCTCATACCGTATCTCTCACCACCCATCACTACCTGATATATATATATATATATATATATATATATATATATATATATATATATATATATATATATATGCATACAGAAAATACTTATATAATAAAATTGAGTAAAATCATATCATATAAGTTCTTCCTACACATATTGTAGATAATAGGCACACATAGCATTCAATTACCTTAATATTTCATATCTATGTGTAAGATGAATGTAACTATGCGTTCACCTGATAAAATTGGATGCCTCAGAGTTTGGGCAGAACTGCGCCTTGATACTTTATTGTTTCTTCTGACGTTACCTATGTTCACATCAGTAAGTCATAGTCTTATATTCTTGGAGACTAATGATAGTCTAGATTAGTCACTAATCAAAATGTGTATATCAAGATCTATCAAATAAGAAAAAACCAAGTGGTATCATATTGGAGGTAAGGTTCGTTCGGTATACATATTATACTGTTTGGAAATCCCATTTTAAACACCTCACTAAATCTAGCCTAGACATCATCCTTGTAAGTGGATCAATTAGTATAATAAATTGGAATTATTAGTCAATCTTAATTATAGGTTCATAATAACGACTATGACTATAATTATAAGTTACCTCTAAATAAAATAAGTGTTGCTTAACTTACAGAGCATTTAGTGAAAACTAGAAATTATGTAGGAAGGATCTTGATTCGAAAGCTTCTATTCATCGACTATCTTACATCGTAGTGCTTCACTGAAACTTAATTCTAAAGATGATTTCAGACCAAAATGGAGACAAAAATCGAGAGAAAAAGTCGTAAGGTGTGAAATTCAAGTGAGGCTTGAATCCAATTGATAGGACATTTTTCTATTGCGTGTCGCACGCTTGGTCGATGCATGTTGTGCACTTGGTCGAGGCGTGTGTAACACCCCGAGTTCAGAAGTGCAAGTTCAGGCTTCTTAGCGTAAATAAGGAAGGTCGACTCGGTGAGTCGATGGGTAGACTCAGCGAGTTGAGTCGCGGTTCTGGTCACGTGTTAAGTGACCAACTCGGCGAGTCGGCGGCTGGACTCTGCGAGTTGGTTCTGAAGGGAGAAAACCCTAATCCGGGGGTTGTGCCCTATATAAAGCACATTATAACCCATGTTCAGGCTCTTTGCTACCCATTTGAGATCCAAAAACCCTCATCTTGTGTGTGTGATTCCATTGACAAAGAATTAGATCTTGGAAGAGAAATTTGGTGAAAGAAGCTTGGGGATTTGGAGGCGATCATCAAAGGGCTTGGGTAGATCTGGAATCTACTTCTATTTGGGCACATTTCAGGGGTAAGGAACCTTCTCCTTCAGCTATTTCATTATTGATTCATGAATGGTGGTTGATTTGGGATTCATTATCTTGTTTGGGAGCTATCTCGAGTTTGAGGCTTAGATCTGAAGTTGCTACTATAGATCTAGTCTTGTGATGGCCCAAAAGGTCATAAAGTTCATGTCTAAGAGCTATTGATGAAGCCCTTTGTCTTTAACCCTAGCCCTAAAAGTGTTTTGGGCTTA